TCTAAACATATACAGACATTTTTCCTTGTCATTTCAAACTAAACAATATAGTATAACAATTATTTACATAGCCTTTACATTATGTTATTATTATTAATCTAGAGATGATTTAAAGTATACAGGAGGATGTATATATGTTATATGCAAATAGTATGCCATTTTATATAAGGGACATGAGCATCCACAGATTTTGGTATCCTTGTGTGGAGGTGACCTGGAACCAACCCTCTGTGGATATGGAAGGATGACTATAGATATAAAACATTTGGAAGAGTTGCAGATAGAAGGGGAGAAAATAAATGATGGTATCCTGTTTTACCGGAAGTTATTCATGTTACTTCATACCACTTAGCTTTAAGTAGATTGTAATGGGGAAAAGATGTATGTTGTAAACTTCAAAATAACCCAAAGCAAAGAAATGTAACTAAAAAGTCAAAAAAGTTATTAAAATTACATACTAAAATTATTTTCATAGCATACAAAAAAACAGAGAAACAAAAATATTTGGAATAAATAGAAAACAAATAACAAAATGGCAGAATACAGCCTTATCAAAAAATACATTAAATATAAATGGAATAAATGCTCCAGAGGCTGGCGGAGTGGCTCAAGTGGTAGCGCTTGCCTAGCAAGCATGAGACTCCCAAGTTCAAACCCTAGTACCACCAAAAAAAAGAAATAAGTAAATAAATAAATGCTCCAAATGCTAAGATTGTGAAACTGGATTAAAAAAAATAATTCTCAACAATAAGCTATTTACAAGATATACCCTTTAAATTAAAAAAACAGCAAGAGGCTAAAAATAAATGAATAGAAAAAGATATGCCATTCAAAAAGAACACAAACAAACAAAACCTAAGCTGGGGGCAGGACGATTATGATTATGAGGCCACGCTACGCTATATGGCAAGATGCTGTCTCAAAAAAAAAAAAAAGCAAAAAAAAAAACCATTTAACATGACCAAGTTAAAAAAAGCAAAAAAAAAACTACTTTAAGACAAGTAGTTTTACTACAGAAGGTTACACTATAATGTAGTTAACATGCTATACATATGTGCCAAATCACAAAGCTCGAATACACACAGCAAAAACTGACAAGCCTGAAAGGAAAAAATACACAAATTACTACTTATACCTGGCAACTTCAATACCCCTTGCTTTCTAACTGATAGAACAAGTAGAGAAAATGAGCACAATAATGGACTTGTACCAAAACAAACCAATCCAACATAACTTGACAGTTACAATTATCCCACCAAATAATAGCAGAATTCACATTATTTCCATGACGTCTGGAATATATCTCAAATTTAAAGGACTAAACATGTACAATACATTTTCTGATCACAATGGAATAAAGTTAGAAACCCATAACTTAAAAGTATCTGGAAAATCTGCCAATGTTTGGAAATTAAACACTACCCTGCTAAACAACACATGGGTCAAAGAAATAAAATAACAGAGGAAATTAGAAATATTTCATATTGAATATAGAAAAAAACAAGACATATCAAAAATCTGTGGAAAACAGTTAAAGTGATACAGAGGAACTTACAGCTTTAAATGAAATACTAAATGTAAGAGTGGAAGCCAGTGAAATAGAAAACAAACTATAGAGAAAAAAATCAATGAAATAAAAATCTGGTTCTTTGAAAAGATTAATAAAACTAATAAAGTTATAGCTAAATTGGTCAAAAAAGATAAGACACAAGTTATCCATATCATAATAAAAGAGGGATACCATCAGATATCCTTCAAAGAGAAAAGGATAGTAAGAATATTCTATGAACAACTTCATGCCAATGAATTTGACATGAATAAAATTCCTCGAAAGACATGCATTACCAAAACAGACTGAAGAAATAGAAAATCTGAACAGCATTTAATATAATTTAATTATATTTAATTAATTAAATTACATTTAACTAATATGTTAAATGAATCAATTTCATATTTTAAAACCTTCTTGTGAAGAAAACTACAGAAACAGCTTCAATGATGGATTTTTTCATGATTTGAAGTAAAAATAATACAAATCTGACAAACTCTTACAGAATAAAGTCATTACAGAATGAGGTTATTACTAACCTGGTATCAAAAGTTGAAAAAAAAATCAACATAAGAAAACTACAGCTGCGTGCTGGTGACTCATACCTGTTACCTTAGAGATCAGGAGGACCTCGGTTCAAAGCCAGCCTGGAGAAATAGTTTGAGACGTTATCTTGAAAAAAACCACCACAGAAAAGGGCTGGTGGAAGGGCTCAAGGTGTAGGCTCTGAGTTCAAACCCCAGTACCGTAAAAATAAGAACGAAAACTACAAATAATCTTCAAAAGCACAAACAAAAAATTCTTAATATATTAGAAAGTTAAATACTGTAATATAAAAGAGTAGCACCTCATTATCAAGTAGAATTTACCCCAGAAGACTGTGTAACACTTGAAAAATCAATATTTATGGATATAATAATGGAGAAAATCCATATAATATTTTCAATAGTATTTTTTGGGGGGTGCTGGGGATTGAAACAGGGCCTTGCAAAGCTAAGTATGTGCTCTGCCACTGAACTAGCTACTGTAGATTAAAACCCAGACATTGTAAAATTACATGCCAAAATTCAGACTTTTTTTTTTTTGTCTAACAAAAATGCAAATGACTTTTGAAGTCTAGTAAAAAGGAAAACCTCAAGCCCTGCGTGGTAGTACATGCTGATAATCCCAGCATGTGGGAGGCTGAGGCAGGAGGATTGCAAGTTCAAGGTCAGCTTGGATTACATAGCATGACGCTGTCTCAAAAACAGAAAAGAACAAATAATCTTGGAGGTTTTAATGGGCTTATTGCCTTGTAGGACATTAATCAGTTTTGTATCAAATGCAATCTTTTGTTTTTTAACATTCTTTTTTGAAATGCCTATAAATATTAGGTCTTTAAGGGCTCTTTGAACCAATTTCTCTGTTGAGCTAATTTCTTGGAAATAATGAATTAAAAAATTTTGACACAAGTTTATGGTTGGATAACAATCATACTTGTAATTTTTAAAAAACTCATGCTTTGTTGAATGTTATTAATGGTTTATTTGAGTGCCACTCCAAATCATCTCAGTATACATCTCTGATCACACTTCATCTAATGTGAGTCACATTAGATTATACCTGAAATGAAAATTTGGAGGTTTATTTCTCAGCACACTGTACTTTATTATTTTAATGAGTATTCTGTTTTGGTACCAGGGTTATGGAATCTTAAATGAAGCCTCCTTTTTCCCCTTCAATGTTATGACCTACTGTGTAGTTATATAAAGCCAATTCTCCACCCATTGTTTTAAAAGCTTCAGAATGTAACCCTTCATAAACAGTGAGACTTGATTTTTAATTTAGAAGCCAATACTTTGTTTCTTGGATACTTCTTCTTCATCACCAACTTCATCTTCAGTGACCTCAGATCCAGTGGTATATTCTTCTTCTTCTGAAAATAATGACTGTTGTTTCTAAATTAAAAAAACATCAAACACATCTATCACAAATGTTATTATTATGACATCTCTAGTGAATTCTTTAAAACACATTTATCTGAACTTGTTTTGGATGAATGAGTCAAATAAGGCTAATAAAAATGATCACTGCCTACCTAGCATAACATTGAGGCTATAGTCTTAAGAATTTGTATATTCAGAACATGACTATATTACATCAAATATTTTTATTGGCTTCCTTCAAAGAATCTATGATAGATTTACATATCAGTATTTGTTGAATAGTACTTCTATCACTCAACTGAACTTATGTTCCTTGATATTAAGATTAAATTATAATTGCTAACATTAAAGTAGTCTCATAACAAACACATGTACAATCTCTGACTAAATGTGTTCTGTATTACTTATCTGCATTAGTTTCCTGCATCTATCTGCCCTACTGTTTGTTATTGCTAACCCAAATTTCTATTCCATTCTTATGAGTACTGATGGCAAGTGGCATAGTATTGGCAAAGCACTCAAAAAATAAAAAAATTAAAAAATCAACCAACCCAGGTGTGGTAGCACATGCCTGTGATCCCAGCATGCAAGAAGCAGAGGTAGGAGGATTGAGAGTTCAAGGCCCAACTGGGCTACATAGAGGAACTCAATCTCAAAAAAAAAAAAAAAAATCAACCAATTCATTAAACAACCAAATAATAAGCACTTAGTATTTTTTGTTCATAATGTCCTAAAAATTTACAAGTGACCTCAGTCAGGTGGGTGGCTCACACCTGCAATCCCAGGTTCTTGGAGGCAGATACTGGGAGGATCACAGTTAGAAGCCAGCTGGGGGAAAAGTTAGAATGACTCCATTTCAATAAATAAGCTGGGTGTGGTGGCATGTGCCTATGACCCCAGCTATTCAGGAGACTGTAGGCAGGGGGATCCTCGTCCAAGACTGCCTCTGGGCAAACACTTTAGACTTTATCTGAAAAATAAATAGAGCAAAAAGGGCTGGAGGTGTGGCTCAAGTGGTAGAGCATCTGGCTAGCAATCATGTGACCTTGAGTTCAAATGACAATATACACCCCTCCCAAAAAAAGTGACTTTAAGGTCTTTTAATTATACCTATTCCTTTTACACTCAGATAATGGGAGTGTATGTCTGTCTTAAACAATACAGTAAAATTTTTAGTAAGTTGAAGAAGGTGAAACTAAAATTTGTTTTAGTTGAACAAATTTAACTGAATTTCTTAAACTAAAATTTGCAAAGATTCTGTTAAGTTGTAATTTAGGAAGCAAGAGATCCACGAAAGGTTAACACAATTGCTTTCTTACCAGTTGAAGAGTCCAGCTTTTCAGTGACAAGAACTGTAAGACAGAGGAATAAGAGATTAATAAATCTTCATCCATTCAGATTGTAGCTATTATTTTCATGTGAATATTGTGGAAGAGCTGAAAAAAAGTTAAAAATATGGTTGTGTTCCAGTTTGAAACAATTTAAAACTTGGGCTGAAACCAATATATTCACATAACATATCAGTCTTTAAAATTCCCTGCCTAAGTCCAATTAAAGTGACATTAGCAACCCTGAAAATGTCTGTACAGCCAACGGTTTCCCTTGGGGGCTTTGAAATTACACCACCTGTGGTCTTGAGGTTGAAGTGTGGCTCGGGGCCTGTGCATATCAGCGGCCAGCACTTAGTAGCTGTGGAGGAAGACGCCGAGTCAGAAGATGAGGAGGAAGATGTGAAACTCTTGAGTGTGTCTGGGAAGCGGTCAGCCCCTGGAGGTGGTAGCAAGGTTCCACAGAAAAAAGTAAAACTTGCTGATGAAGATGACGACGAAGAGGATGAAGATGATGACGATGAGGAGGATGATGATGACGATGATTTTGAGGAGGATGAAGCTGAAGAGAAGGCTCCAGTGAAGAAATCTATACGAGATACTCCAGCCAAAAATGCACAAAAATCAAACCAGAATGGAAAAGACTCAAAACCATCAACACCAAGATCAAAAGGTCAAGAATCCTTCAAAAACAGGAAAAAACTCCTAAAACACCAAAAGGACCTAGTTCTGTAGAAGACATTAAAGCAAAAATGCAAGCAAGTATAGAAAAAGGTGGCTCTCTTCCCAAGGTGGAAGCCAAGTTCATCAACTATGTCAAGAACTGCTTCCGGATGACGGACCAGGAGGCTATTCAAGATCTCTGGCAATAGAGGAAGTCTCTTTAAGAAAAATAGTTGAAACAGTTTGTTGAAATTCCGTCTTATTTCACTTATGTAAGAGTTGATATCTGGCTGTCCTTTTTATAATGCAAAGTGAGAACTTTCCTCCCGTGTTTGATAAATGTTGTCCAGGTTCCATTGCCAAGAATGTGTTGTCCAAAATGCTTGTTTAGTTTAAAAGATGGAGCCTCCACCCTTGCTTGGTGTAAGTGTGTATGGAATGTTAGCCTAGGACGTAGTGGTGGTCAGACATGGAGATGGTGGGAGACCAATACGTGTGAAATAAACTCCGTATTTTAATAAAAAAAAAAATTCCCTGCCTAATCCATGACCCAATGAAGAAATGGGCAAATGAACTTATCAGAGCTTTTTCAAAGGAAAAAGTACAAATAAGCTAAAAAACACATGAGAAATGCTCAATACCCTTGGCCATAAGGATGCAAATGAAAAAATGCAAATCAAGACCATGTTAAGATTCCACCTCACTCCTGTCAGAATGGTTATCATCAAGAATACACACACAAAAAGAACACAACAAATGTTGGTGAGGATGTAGGGAAAGGAACCCTCATACACTGTGGGTGGGAATGTAAATTAGTACAACCACTGTGGAAAACAGTATGGAGGCTCCACAAAAACCTAAAAATAGAACAACTATATATGTGATTCAGCAATACAATTCCCTAGGGATATACTGGAAGGAATGTAAGTCAGATTATAATAAAGGCACCTGCACACCTGTATTTATTGCAGCATTATTCACAATAGCCAAGATAAGGAAACAGCTAAGATGCCTCACTACTGATGAATGGATTAAGAAAATGTGGTATTTATATAAAACAGAATTTTATTGGGTCATAAAGAAGAATGAAATTTTGTTGTTTGTAGGTAAATGGATAGAACTGGAGAACATCATCTTAAGTTAGCCAGGTTCAGAAAGCCACAGGCCTTTTCTGTCATAAATTGAATATAGGACCAGTACAAATATAAGCAATATTATATGTATATAGAAATACATACAGAACATGTACCCAATAGTAGGGACTGGTAGAGGAGACCAAGGGAGGAAGAAAAGAAGGAAGGAAAGATAGTGAATAATAATGAAATATATCACATTTGTAGGAACAAGACACAACAAAACACAATGAAAACTGTTAACACAGGATAGGAGGAAAAGGGCAAGTAAGTGCAGTGGAGGGGAGTTAAATCCCACTGAACAATGAACAGACACCTAAAAAGAGTGAAAAATAGGCCCTCTAAGGGGAGAGGACAAATGGGAGAGGGTAAAAGAAGGACATTAAGAAGGTAAATATGATGTAATTTCAATATAAGAATGAATATAGAATATTAAAATCTGTTGAAATCCCATAAGAGAGAGACTAAAGTAGAAAGGGAAAAAAAGGAAGGGATAAGCCAATTCGGAATATAATACACATGTACATGAAATGTCATAATGAAACTCCTTATGTAGCTATCTTAAACAGAAATATCTTTTTTCACAAACGAAGGACAGGAAGGTAAAGTGGGTCCAGCTGGTATCAGTGGGAGCAGGGAGGATATAAGGAAAGGATGTAGGAGGGTAAATAGGTACTCATGTATGAAAATGGAACATGGAAAGTATTCTAAAAAGGGCTTAGGGGAAATAAAGGAGAATGATGGAGGGGGTGAATTTGACTAAGATACATTGTAAACACTTTTGTAAAATAAGTGTCACCCAGTACAACAATAATATGATAATAAAAATTAAAGAAAGAAAAAAGGAATTACTTATTTGGCACTAAAAAAAAATCCCCTGCTAGGAGGATTATGAGTTCCAGGCTAGTCTGAGTAACATGACAAGACCCCATCTCAAAAAACAAAACCAAAAAACCCCAAAAAACAAAACAAAAAAATCCCTCCCTTATCTGGGCACTGGAGGCTCATGCCTGTAATCCTAGCTACTAGGGAGGCTGAGATCAGGAGGATTACGGTTCAAGGTCAGCCCAGGCAAAAAAGTTTGTGAGACTCCATCTCAACAGAAAAAAGTTGGGTGCAGTGGCATGAGCCTGTTATCCCAGCAGGAAGCTTAAAATAAGAGGATCACAGTACAGACTAACCTGAGCAAAAATCAAAACCCTATCATCAAAATAACCTGGGCAAAAAGGCCTAGAGGTGTGGCTTAACTGGTTCAGCACCTGCCTTGAGAAGTTCTGAGTTCGTGTGAACAAAACAAACTGCCAGCAAAACAAATAACCTCCCTAGAGGATTATGTGGATACTTTATTTTATTTATTTATTTTTGATGGTACTGGGGTTTGAACTCAAGAGCTTCACACTTGCTAGGCAGGTACTCTACCACTTGAGCCACTCCACCAGCTCTTTTTTGTGTTGAGTATTTTAGAGACAGGGTCTCGTGAACTATTTGCCTGGGGCTGGCTTTGAACTGTGTTCCTCCTTATCTCTGCCTCCTGAGTAGCTAGGATTACAGGCATGAGCCACAGGTGTCCAGCCTGATGTGGATACTTTAAAAAAACAAAAAAGCTGGAGATGTAGTTCAATAGTAGATACTTGTCTAGCATGTGTAAGACACTCAGTTCAAACCCCAGAACTGCAGGAGAAAAAAAAAACTGACATTTTTCCAGTATCATTTCCAAAGGACAAATAAATCACATGTAGATAAAACAATTTTAGTTACTTTTTGCACAATTTCAATAACATCTTAGTGTTTATATTTTATGATAAATTAAGGAACCATATAATAATATAACTTATTCTTTGACATAATTTAAAAATGAATGCTAATGACTGAATATTTATATAGCTGTCTAGTTTTTCACTTTATTAAGTAAATTCTATATCAACACAAAGATTGGAAGTTCACAGGCAAATAGATTCCCTGTTCCTTTGCAAAAAAAAGTCAAAGGAATCAAAAGCTTTCTTGTCACCTAAAAAATATTTCCACTGTGAAATATACTTTCCTGATTTCAATTAAGAATTTCATATTCAAAGTATTTACAAAAGGACAAAATATGCATTCATACTACATTCATTTCTCAAATCATTATTCACCCATAATAAAATCCTGAAGATCATGTTACTTTTTTTTCTAACATTTGATTTATTAGTTATTAATTCTTTGAGAGCAAGAAATATATCCATCAGTGCTACAGTCTTATGCATTCTGCATACATTTTTAGGATTAAGTAATCAGTTTAGTTTCAATTTAAACTTATTAGGTTCCTGTCAAAGATGAAGTGTCATCAATAGTTTTATATAAAGAATAAATAAAATAAGCTACTTACAGCATTCAGTTCCCCACTTTTGGGACCCCATGGTGTATTTGGCTCCAGTAAAACATCACATTCTAGACCCTTTTCATCACAGGAGCCAACCCCAGGATCACTTGAAAGAAAGATATTTTTATGGAAAAGTATTCAATTTATCAAAAATTTAAATGAGAGTATCTTTTTAATTGCAAATGTTTCATAACTCAATCTTAAGAAGTATAGTTCCTGAGTGAGGCCCTGGTTTGATCCCCAGCTCCCCCCCAAAAAAGAAATACAGTTCTTGAGTGTTAAGGATGTGACTTCAATATTTACATTTTCTTCATTTGTCTAGTAATTCCCCTAGCAAAAGACATCCCACATGGGGTGCACCACTGTAGTAGAAAGCACTGTACCTACCAGGTGGTAGGTGGCAGATGGGCAGCTATGATTGGTGCTGTTTTGAGAACAGCCTCTTTGTGTATTCACTTCTCATTTTTGGTGGCAGTACTGAGGTTTGAACTCAGAATTTGTGCTTGCTAGGAAGGCACTCTATCACTTAACCCACACTCAGTCAAAGGATAGCTTTGTTTAAACAGTCCTCCAGCCTTAACCTGGCAGTCTGCTGCAATGGCAAAACAATGGAATTGATGCAGAAATTACTAAATTTAAGGAATTCAAATTTATGGAAAGATGATCTCAAACATCAATTTTCCTAGTTATGGGCTAGGGATGTGGCTGGAGTGGAAAAGCAGCTGGTTAGCAAGTACAAGGCCCCAAGTTTGAACTCCAGTACCACCAAAAAAAAAATCATGCTAAGTGAAAGAAAATAGTCCTAATTTTTCTAGTTTTATCAATCAAGCACTTAAAAGGGCTTTGGGGCTGGGGAAGCAGTTCAGTAGTAGAGGGTGTGCCTAGCATGCTTAAGGCCTTGGTTGGATCTCTAGCACCATGGGATAGGTTGAGGGGAAGGGACTTTAATCAACATGGGGGGGAAAAAACTCTCAAATCTTCAAAAACTGGATTTAGGATTCCAACCTTTTTAATCATTAAAAACTCTTCATTAGCTTTTTTCTTGCTCACTGGACCTCCAATATTTTTATGTGCCTGATTTTGTTTTTTTTTTTTTTAAAGCAGTACTGGGGTTTGAACTCAGGGCCTTGCACTTGCTAGCCAGGCACTATCACTTTTGTGTTTCACCTATCAAATAAGTATCTGCTTGCTTTGACTATAAACTAACATAATTTAATTAAGTTATTTGAAATAATGAAAATTATTTGAGGACTAATATTATTGATTTGAGAGCAAAACAGTGGTGGTGATTATTTTTTTCCTCACCTAACTGTATCTTTAGAAAAAGGCACAACAATGACATCTTTGTGCTTGTTCAGATCGTCCAGTATTCTACTAGTTGGACAAGACATCAAATCCCCACCTTCACCTTGATCACGAAGAGCAACCATGTGGTCCCTCACTTTACAGCCCTGTCATGTAACAGACAGTAAATTAGAAAGGTTGGTTCATTTCTGAAATACTCCTTTAAAGATCACTGTTGCCAAGTATGTTGGTGCATGCCTATAATCTCAGCTACCTGGGAGGTGGAGATCAGGAAAATCATAGTTGGAGGCCAACCTGCGAAAAAAGTTAGCGAGATCCCATCTGAACAAATAAGCTAGGTGTGGAGGTGCATACCCCATCTTCTACATGGGAGGCACAGTTAAAAGGATCTCTTTCAGAGGCCAGCTCTGGGAAAAAACAAGAGCTCTATCTGAAAAATAAAGCAAAAAGGACTAGGATGTGGCTCAAGTGGTAGCACTTGCCTAGCAAGTGCATGGCCTTGAGTTCAAATCCCAGTAGCACCAAAAGAAAGGAAAGGAATTAAAAGATCATTCTCTTTATTCTTCTTTGCTTAGTTGAGTCATCACATTTGACTTTTTTTCTTGGGAAAAAATACAGAAGAGAGGTTGAAACATAAATATACATCTTAA